ATTGGTATATTTATGTGTGTACAGACACACATATAATTTGTATATTATCTAACTAAAGATGTTTTTTGAGGCAGTATAACATCAAATGTCATTGGTTTTTGAAATTTAAGTGAGGAGAAAGGTGCCTTATCTTTATTTAACAAAATAATGTCTTAAAATTGGCAGGTAAAGGACAGGAAAAAAATTATATATTACATAAAGATGTTCTCACTCTTTTTTTTTTTTTAAGATGTTCTCACTCTTGAAGGAATGTAACAGATTTGAAAATAAAACTGAATTTTAATGAGGAGGTATGCTTTGAATAGGCTTTTTTCCTGTCCTGTGTTATGTTGGAAAGGACATTGTGCTACTTTCTTGACCAGAAGAAGGATATTCGTTCTTTTAAATATTGAATTTTAAAATTAACATTCTTTAAAGATTATTGTTCCTTCCCTTTGTGACGTCCATAATTTTATCAAAACTCGGTTCAAGTGCTACTTCCCATAGGACATTCATCTTATTATTCAGATTTGCTAGTTTTCTCTCCCATAGAAATTATTTTGTACTATGTATTTTCAATTTAATTTTCTAAGGAAATGGTTTTTGCCCCGCAATAGAATGTGAACTCCTTGAGGACAGGGACTGTTTAATTTTTCTCTTTGCATCTCCAGGTCCTTGCATAATGCCTGGCTCCTAGTAGACACTTCGTAAATGTTTTTTGAATGAATTGGTGGATACTGGCGTGTCTACTGGATGTAAAGCATTATATTGTCACTTTGGAAATTAGCAAAATGAATAAGAGTCTTAGAATTATAGGAGAACCTGAGTTTGTATAGATGTTTTATTTACTTATCTGTGAACAGTGTTCCACTCTAGTGTTAGACACAATATTCCAGATATGGAATGTATCCAGATGCGTTCTACTCCAGCAGAGTAGAATAAAGCCTTTACTTCTGGTATTCTGGCCATTGTGCCTCCCAATTGGGGAGCTCGGTGGTGCAGTGAATAGAGAGAGCTGGTCCCAGAGTCAGGAAGACTCTTCAGCCTGAGTTCAAATCTGGCCTCAGACACTTACTAGCTGAGTGACTCTGTTTACTTCAGTTTCCTCAGCTGTAAAATGAGCTGAAGAAGGAAATGGCAAACCAGTCTAGTACTTCTGCCAAGAAAACCCCGAATAAGGGTCATGAAGAGTCAAACACTACTGAAAAAAACAATTAATCATCATCACATCCTGAAGTAAGGAAAAGTTGAGTTTGAATTTGGCCTCAGACACTACCTAGCTATGTGAGCCTGGACAAGACACTTAAAACATGTTTGCCTCAGTTTCCTCAGCTGTAAAATGGGTATAATAATAGCACCTAGGGACTGTCTACCTTTATTTGTATCCCCAGTGCTTAGAGCACTGTCGACCACATAGTAAGTGCTTAATAAATGCTTCTGAATTGACAGCAGTTTAGCTCTTCCCAATTTTGTTGTTATTCCTGAGTCTGACTCTTCGTGACACCACTTGGGTTTTCTTGGCAGAAATACTGCATTAGTTTGCCATTTCGTTCTGCAGCTCATTTGACAGTTAAGGAACTGAGGCAAAAAGGGTTAAGTGACTTGCCGGGGTCAGATTTGAACTCAGGCAGAAGAGTCTTCCTGACTCCAGGCCCAATACTATCCAGTGCACGAACTGGCTGCCTTATATTATTAATGACATCCTCTTTTTTTTTCCTCTTATTTTATGGAAGACTATCTCCAAACTTAATTTATGGGGTCTTTATTTCTCTTGCTCATGAAATTAATCACTTAGGAATGGTGTAGAAGAGATTCTGCATCAGGTTTGGTTTGGAATAGATGGCCTCTGGTGTCATTTCCAATTCTCTTATTTTGTAATTCTGATTCTTTTTGATTCTACATCCATACATTTGTTTCCTTCTCAATGCATAGTCATCACTGTAGTTTAGGCCCTCATTACCTCTTACTAGGGCTACTTAAAATATCCTCCTAATTGTTTTACTAACCTCAGGTCACTCTTCCTCTCTAATCCATCTTCCACACAGTTGCCAGAGTAGATTTCCTGAGTGATGGGGCTTGACCCTCTCAGTCCCCTACTTAATAAACTATAATGGCTCACTGTTTATTTTAAAATCAAATATTATTTCATGTCTTTATCTTATCCCTTTTAATGTCTTATTTTGTCTAAGTTTTATATTTTCATAATAGGTCAGTGTAGCACATAGGTATAATTTATAAATAAGTAAATATACACATTGGAGGTATATACTTTAAAATATTTTACTGATAGGGATATACAGGCAAAAGTTTGGAGACTGCTGGAATGTAGGACAAAATGCAGTCTAATTTTGCATTTCCATCTATTTTTCTAGACAACTAGGTTTATATCTACTTCCCTTCATGAACTCTACATTCTAATTCCACTGAACTGTTAACTAAACTCTGTATTCAACATGTGTACGTTGAATTCCCCTTTCTCAGAACTCTTGTCCTCCTTTCAGGCTAGAATAATATGTTATCTCTTTGAAACTTTACCTGATCTTTCCAGTTATTAGTGTTCACTTCCCAATCAATTTTATTTAAATAAATAGTTTATAAATTATTAAAAACATGTAATTTCCAGTATTCCCCATACTAATGTAACATCCTCTATAGTGAAGAATTTTCATTTAGCAAAGCAAACTCACACAATGGTGACATCTAAAGGTGTTTACCCAATCCCTCATTTATCAAAATCATCATCAATAAACCTTTAATTGTGTTTACTATCTGCCAGGCACAGTGTTAAGTTCTGGGGGTATAAAGAAAGGCCCAAACACTTGTCCCTGCCCTCAAAAAGTTCATATTTTAATGGGGGAAGACAACATGCAGCCAACTATGTACACACAAGGTATATATACACTTCTGTATCCGCCAATCATGTCTCACCAACTGCTCTCTGAAATCATGGTTAGTCACCACCATCAACCAGAATTCTTTTGTCTTTCAATGCTTTCATTTGCATTATTGTTATCGTATAAATTGTTCTCTTGGTTCATCCAAGCTTTTATCAGCTCATTCAAATGTTCCCAAGTTGTTTATTATGGTGCAAAAACAATCCATTGTATTCATACACCATGTTTTGTCAAACCTTTCCTCAATCCATCTGCTTTCCAGAATGATTGTATCAAACCACAGTTCCTCCAATAGTGTAGTAGTCTTACCTGTCTTTTTTTTTTTTTTTTTTTTTTTTGGTGAGGCAGTTGGGGTTAAGTGACTTGCCCAGAATCACACGGCTAGTGACTGTTATGAGTCTGAGGTCAGATTTGAACTCAGGTCCTCCTGACTCCAGGGCCGATGCTGTATCCACTGCAACACCTAGCTGCCCCGTCTTTTTTCTTTTTTATTGTGAACTTAACAATCATCAGCGAGTCTTATGTAAAAATTACAAAACGATGATTGTATATGAAAATGTGATCTGTTACATTTATTTTGCAGACATATATTAAAGTTACAAAATTTATATCCCCTTCTAAATTTAACTTTTTCCTGTGTATTTTTAAATGTTTTATTGATGGTCTTTAAAACTTTTTTTTTTTTTGCATCTTAATGACTATTAACTCCACCCCCAAGGGATAGCTTTACCTTATGATGAATAAGTATAGACAAGCAAAGCAAATAAAAACATTGACCTCATAGGAAAATGTCTCATTCTGCCCCTCTAGTCTGTTACTCCTCTCTCAAGACAAGACGTAGGAAACATGATTTATTATTAGTTTTTTAAATTCCTGATTGGTCACTGCTTTGATTGATATTGTCAACCTAAAATAAAGAAGACTGCCAAAACTTAGCAGCAGCACCAAAGTACTGTAGTGTCCCCAAGTGGGACAGGATTAAATACACTTCAACATGGATTAAGTCTCAGGGAAAGCACATCCAGGAGAAGCTTTTACAAAGTATGTGAGTTGTTTCACATAACAACTAAAAGTCCATGGAGGGGGGGGGGGCTCGATATCTGGTCAGAACAGCAGGCTTGGGCTCCAGGAGCAGCTATAGGAAAATGGTTTGGACCTGCTCCAATCTTGGGATCTGATGGGATTAAAGTCAGGTAACCCTTTTGATGTCTGCATTTCACATTCTTTTTTTTAAACTGGTTTCCATAGCCCTCGGGCATTTTGTAGATCTAGGATCGGGCAGAGTCAGTGGCTGCATTCAATAATGTCTTTCAAAATTATCTTTTACAGTATTGTGGTATTCATATATCATTTGTCTCCTGTATCTGCTTATTTCATTCTATATGTTTTTAGAAATTTATCTGAATATCACATTTGTCATTTCTCATAACATAATAACATTCCATTATATTCTTATAGCACAATTTGTTCAACAGTTCCCCACATTTCAAGATGCGTACTAATTCTATTGCTCCAGCAAAAGTGCTGCTATAAATGTTATTATGTACCAGTGTCCTTTCCTTCTTTCTTTGTTCTTCTTTGGAGTATATGCCATTTAGTAGTTTGTTGAATCAAATGGTATTCAGTTTCTCTTATTTTTAAGTGATTGTAAGCCTTTTTAAAATGAGGTTGTTGATAGCTGCCTATTCATGAATTACTTCTCTTGCTACATTCTCTCTAATGTTGACTGTTTTCATCTTTTGTAATCTTTGTCAGTTTTGCTGGCTATGAGTTGAAACCTCAGAGCTATTTTGATTTTCATTTCTTTTCTTAAAAGTGATTTGGGATAGTCTTTCATATAATATGAAAGCTTGTAAATAGTTCATATCTTTTGATGATTGAACCATTGACCTTCTAACTTAATGTGCATAAAACCAAACATGTGCTCAGGTTTTCCCAACCTCCCCTTCTGACTTAAATTGCCTTTTTGCAATTTCAAAAATTCTACATAGGTTGATTTGCATAATTTTAAAAACTAAGGTATAGATGCTTTGGTAAAAAAAATAATAATAATAATGTAGAACGGGTGCCAATTGTGGACAAAATTTCAAAAGATAAAATTCTGTTTTTCTCGTGTGCTTCTTATAGTCACAATGAACGGAAGGTGACCTGCAAGCATCCAGTTACAGGCCAGCCATCACAGGATAATTGTATTTTTGTCGTAAATGAACAGTAAGTACAAGAATTTATTATGAAATTCGTATTTTCCTAGTTCATCACTTCCTTTAAGATTATATTTGTTAACTTAGAGAACGAGACCTTTATTTACATTCAAAGCAAGATTTTATTAGTAAAATTTGCCATCCTGAATATTTGTACTCGGGTGAAACTGCCAAACACTAATGACTTTGTTTGATTTCTTTGGACTAGCACAAGGACCTTCAAAGATTTTATCATGAAGGCTGAGATTTTATAAATTGTTTTAACTAATAAAAGGGGTAAGTTCTTGGTTTGTTGTTCTAATATTTAACTGATAACCTTCAGTTCAACAAACATTTATTAATTGCTAACTATGCTAACACTGTAGTACATGAAGGATCTAAAAAAATTAATGAGATACGGTCTTAGGTAAGGAAGGAAAGGATTGGGTCTAGAGTGTCATCTAGACTATGAAGGTAGCAGTGAGATTAGAAAGATTTTAAAAGATATTTTTAGATCTCAAAATCTATAGAATTATCTTTTAATCTATTTTTTAAAGACTCTTCTAGGTAGGTTTAGACATGTGATATCTCTTGCATAGCAGTTGGCTTATTTGTAATGAAGACATTTGACCCAAAAATTATTTACATGCCTAAGTGTTGTTGTTATTGTTTTTTGTTTTTTTTTAATGCAAACCATTTCCTTGAAGTGATGTTTGATTTCCCCATGTTCTACTAAAAATTCATTTTAGCCTTTGGTATTTTAATGGATTACCAAAGGCAATATAATCATCCACAAGGTAGGCCAGGCCAAATAGAGATTTACTTGGCATGTCTCTGCAATAGATATATTTTGTCATTCAGATTTTCTCCAATTCATTTTGATGTTTGAAATGAGGCAAATATTAACTATTTGATTTTGCTCAATGAATATTTGTTCAGTTATGACTAATCTTTAGAGTGGGGAGGAATTCAGTTGTAGTACCTATTCTGCAAAAGTGAATTTTTCAGATAATTAAAATATATATCCCTTTAAATATCAAAACTTTTGCCTCGGTTTTCCCTCTTCCCTTCTCTCCAACTTTTATTAATGCTTTTTTTCAAATAATCCTGCCACTTGCCTATGCTCTGCAATAAAAACCATCTATTATGATAAAGAAGTACAATTAAGTCAAACAGACCAACACAGTAACTATGTCTAATAAAGTGTGGTCTGACTGTCTAACTCTGCCAAAGGAAAGAAAGTTATGTTTCATCGTCATTTATCTAGAGTCAAGGTTGGTCACTGCATTGATTTGAGTTCTGATGTCATTTAGTATTGTTTTCTTTTACATAATTGTGGTCATTGTGTAATTTGCTTTCTTGGTTCTGCTTGCTTTCTCTGTTTGACCTTCTTCTATCATCTGCCTAGTAGTGGTATTCCTGTTGAAATGAATTGTTCACTTTGCCTTCTGTCTTAAACAGCATTTTCAGCTATTGTGAGAAACGAGGACTGCTTCTGAATTGTGGCTGTGTGTTGCTGTAAATTTGAGAGAAAGTTATATGGGAATAAATTGTGAAAGGAAAGTATAGCAGGGAAGAATAAGAAGATAGCTGAGAGTATCAAAATAAGAAAGAACAGAGAAAAATGAAGAGATTGTTTACTTTAGTGCCCCAGTTGTCTTATTTTGTTACTCTTTTTCGCACAAAAAAAAGAGGTTTGTGTAGAAATTTTATTAATATCACACTTTGCCTGCTTCTCAATTTCATCAGCATCATTTTTGTAGCCAGGAAACCTGTGTTCTGATCTGACTTAATGGACAAGGACATAAAAAAGATCTGCTTTAGTCCCAACCTAGCCTTAGCTTCTCTGATTTCATAATTTCTTGTCCTCTACCCCAGAAGCCTGATGATAGCAGTAACCTCAAAAGTTTTAGTAAGAAATATTAAATGAATTTGATTTAAATGAGTATGTGTGGCAGCAGAGTCTTTAAAATACATTGCTGAGGGTTTAAAAATGGATTGGTAAGAGGTAAATAAGTGCATTTGCCTTGGGGCAAAAAAAGTAAAAAATCCAGCCATTGCTTTAAAGAGGCAGCACCATGGAGAAAAGGAACTGAGTTCTGTGTTGGTCGTTTTGAGTTTGAAATGGAAGAGGAAAAAGCATTTACTAAGCACGTACTATATCCCTGGCACTATGCCAAATAATATCTCATTTGATCCTCATGACAACCCTGAAAGAGGTGGGTCTATTATCCCCATTTTGCAGTTGAGAAAACTGAGGCACAGTGATTAGATGACTTGCCAGGGTCACATAGCTAGTGTCTGAGACCAGATGTGAACCCAGGTCTCCCTCATTTGTGGCCCAGTGCTGTATCCACTTTATCACCTAATCTGCCTCAAATTGTGTAATGGATAGCCATTATCAATGAAGGACTGAAGCTCAGAGGAGAGCCAAGAGCTGGATATATAGTTCTGGGAATCACCTGCATATCAATGATAATTTAATCCATGCTGTTTAGTGATATCACCAGTTAGTCAATAAGCATTTATCAGATGCCTACCCTGTGCCAGATACTGTGCTAATTGCTAGGGATACAAAAATAAAAATGAAAGTCCCTGCATTAGAGGAACTTTACGTAACATATTCTTTTGCTAAGAGATAGGGAGAAAAGACAAGAAGGCCTACAACAAATCTAGGGATACTTAGTGGGCAGAATATGGATGGTAATCCAGCAAGATGAAAAGTAATCAGAGGAAAGAGGGAAATGAGAGAATCATGTCTGGAAAATCCTATAGAGGGAAAAGGAGGATGAGGAGTGGGAAAAGGCTATCAGATTTGGCAATTAAGAGATCCTTGATAACTTTGAAAAGAGCAGTTTCAGTTCAGTAACAATGCAGGAAGCCAAACTGTAGGAGGTTAAGATGCAAGCAAGAAGAAAGTAAGTGGAAACAAGTATAAAAAGCATTTTTCTTGGTCTTTGGATAATAGATTGACCAGATAATAGGACAAATGAAAGAGTGCAAGAATATCATGTAGAGGAGAAAAGGAAGGATTGTTAAACAGTTGTGAACAATTAGAACAAAGAATAAAAATTGAGGCTTTCCTTAAGTGGAAGAAACTTGCTATTCTGAGAAGGAAGCAGCTATTTGTTCTTCCAGGAATAATAATGTAGACCGATCGGTGCTGTCACATGAGAAATCATCTAGGAAGATTCAGAAGATGGATGTTAAGGCAACTATTACCAACCTGATGATACTAATAGAGGTCTGCTATTTCCCTGGGGTATTTATCCAAGACAGACAACTACAACAAAATCTGATGATTCATGTGGGTACAAATTCTACTTCTAGAAGAATCATAGGAAATTGAAGATCTTAGGTACATATGTGATCTTTTCATCACTTCTAACAATAAAAAGACATTCTGAAAAAAGAAGCAAATTTTGGAAATGACCAGCTGATTAAAAAGATATTTGAGAAGATTTTTGTACAGTCTTTGACTTAAAACATAGACATGACAGGTACCTGGCCTGGGATAGAATGCACCTAACAAGAAATAGTAAGTGTATTTGCCTGGAGCTGTACAAACCTAATCAAAAGGACTTTAGAGTAAGGAGGAGAAAGAAAATGGCTTAGGAATATCCACCAAGCTCGATAATCATAAGGAGTAGCTACGAGGAAGGAAGAACTGTTCAACGACAGTTGAAACACACAGAAGTTAATAGGAGCAAAATCCAGGAAAGGAATTACTAATAAATTACATGACTTCATATTTTGGTATACAAATGCACAAAGTATAGCTAACAGACAAGACAGATTAAAGAGTATAATGCTAGAAAGCACATTTAAGTTAACCTGATAATACTTATTGACATCATTGAGATTTGGAAGGGATGATACCAAGGACTGAAATAAGGTTCTGGAATGGTATAGTTTATTCCAAAGAAATAGAATAGGTTAATACTTGCCTATTTAAAAATACACTTGGGGCAGCTAGGTGGAGAAGTGGATAGAGCACCGGCCCTGAAGTCAGGAGGACCTGAGTTCAAATCCGGCCTCAGACCAAACACTTGACAGTTACTAGCTGTGTGACCCTGGGCAAGTCACTTAACCCCAATTGCCTAAAAAAAAAAGGAATGTAAAAATACACTTACGTGAACATTCCCAAAAGCCAACATGGGTTGGGGCATAACATCAATAGACACCATTTAGATTAAGAAACAGAAAGAAGCAATACTGACATGAGACAGAAAAAGAAAATTGGCATAGAAGCATGATATAGTTGGAGTATTTTCTTTGCCAAAAGCAAAATATTTAATTTTTAATTTACTTTAATGATGATTTCTTCCTTTAAGAAAAGTGGAGAAATCAACAAGCAGAAGTTTTGTTCTGTATCTGATTCTCACCAACAGGGCAGGTTGCCTGGGTGAAAATGATGGAAACTGGGGCAGCTTGATGGTGCAGTAGGTAGAGCTCTAGCCTCGGGGTCAGGAGGACCTGAGTTCAAATACGGCCTCAGACACTTGAAACTTACTAGCTGTGTGACCCTGGGCAAATTACTTAACCCCAATTGCCAAGCCAAAAAAAAAAAATGATGGGAACCTTCAAAGGAAGTGAGTACTCCATCTTAAGAATTGTCATAGAAGAAAACTAAATAAGACTTACACCCTTGATTTAGGAAGAGCATGTTTCCAAAACGTAGGAATGCATAGGTACATCTCCATAAACTAAACTTCTTCAGAGGAAGTTGGCCTTAGAGGAATGGGAAGGTCTCAAAGAAAAAAATTCTGAAAACACACATTGAAATATTTCTGAAGGTTAGCATGAATGCACAGGGTATATTCAGTGATCCAGCAGTTTCTGTGATGTAAAAGAGTAAAGACAGCAATGACATTTCAATTTAAAAAACAAACAACAACAACAACAGAAATGTCCAGAAGAGGGCAAATAACAAAACCTATGATATGGCACGATCTTCTATGAGTAGTTGTCTGGCATGCTGAACCTTATAACAAACTGAGGTTGAAGCTAAGGACAAGGGAAAAGGGTTTT